CATATCTTGAATTAAAAACATGCGTGGACTAGAATATCCAGGGTACTTACAATTTAAGCTGTATATCCTGGTATTATGTTCGAAGAAATATATTGTAGGGAATATAAAATGATCCTCTAAATTCAGCAACTTTTTAAAATACAACTACCGATCTAATTAGCCTATATACTATCATTTTCGATAACCTGTCTATAATACCCTAGGTACAATACATTCTAGGCTCTAAAAATCATGTAGGTATTATAATAGGGAGGGTCTTTTACTCTATGCTATATGGTAGGTTTTTTAAAAAGTATTGCATTTCAGTTAAGATCCTGAGATTTGAAGTAGTCAAGACACATTCAAGAGGCAGATCGGGAAAGATAAAAAAAATAAGTCGGTTAGTACAGTAATAATAAAAAAAAAAATAAATAAACCCTGTTCTTAAATATGCATTAGCGCTTGCAAATCGAATACTACATAAGTGCTTATTAATTAATTTGTGTTCGATTCGAGACAAAATGCTCTTCAATATTTCGGGCTAATCATCTGTATTCTTTTAGTTTATTTCTGGAATGTTCTGATCAGCATCTACTTACCATAATAAGAAAGATCTTCACTACCCATTTTTGGTAAATTGTCTGACTGAATTAAGGCTGAAACTAATTGGATAAGTCTAGATTAATTAAAAAAAATATTGGACTTAAGACTAATAACAATAAAATAAAAATAAATAAAATACGATACTTCTGGTAATAATTTTTCATTAAAATAAGAAACCCAAGTAGTTTTTCCAATTGTATCAATAAAGTGCTCAGCATTTTCGGCCAAGTATTTTTCTAACGCAAGTCAATAATCTTTTGGTGAAGGGTACAGTGTTTTTGGAATTAGTTCTTTAGTGACTTCTTTATATGCAGATCTCCAGAAACTATCAGAAAGTTCTTCAAATGCGATAAGCTTTTTGATATTTTTTGATATCTCCTTCTGTTTAGTTGCTACAAAATGGCATAGTTGATATAAAGAAGTGATCTTTTTGTCCAACATTTTTATGCTATAGTTAAAATCATCAACAGTTAAAAATTTTTTCTTTGAAGAAACATAGTTATCAAATTCTTCATCTAAGTTCACAGACTGCGATCTTCCAAAAGATTTTAAAAGTACAGTTTCTTGAGATGCGCATAGCATTTCTACGTCTTGGGGCACAACGGTAGCAGATGATAAAGCATTTTGTTCAAACATTCTAGAAGTATTTCTTCTGAAGGCAAGGATTCTTGAGATGACTGAAATGTATATGATGAATTATTATCATCTTGTTGAAAGGAATCATCTAATAGTTCGTCAGTGATGGATGGCTGGGTCTTTTGTTTTTTTGCAGGTGACTTATTTGTTAACTCATCATCTGGAATTTCAGTAACTAAAAAATAACATTGCAATTTAAAGATTACTAAAAAGAACAAAATTATAATTACAAATCACTCTCGTCATGATGAACTCTTGATATAGTGAAGACAGTTATAGTGAAGTTAGACTCAAATCAGTCTATACAAATTCTCTCAGTATAGTAAATTTATTGGTAAAATTCGATACAGTAAATTTTTAAAAAATTTTTACTAATAGTCTCGATTGCTTTATTGTAACAGGAGCGGTTTGTATCTGCTTCTACATATTGTTAATTTACCTTCGAAGTTAGACAAACCACTTGTTAATCTAGAGCTTTGGGTCATAGATTGTGCTTTAGTTAATTTGAACCCTTCATCATTTAATAGTGCTTTGTTTGATCCTAAGAATAATAATAATCATCAAAATATTTTTTTCAATTTTTTTTTTTCTGTTGAAAAAAATTTAAGTTACTGCTATTACTGCTTTGTAACATCATTCCAAAGACTGATTTCATTTCCATTCGGTCTATCTCAGTAGTAACAGAATCATCTGACGTATTACTTGTAGTTTTTGAGAAACCGGCTTTGCCTTTAAGTTTTTTTCCTCTACTCTTTATTGAAATTTGCAATAATAAAATTTGTAAAAAAAAAAATAGAATTTAAAAAATTATATATATATATATATATAAATTAATCAATTACCTTTGAGTTACATCATAGAGACATCATTAGGAAATATACTTTTTATAAAATATATGTAAATCTATAAATTTATATAAACATTATATAAAACTTTTATATAGACTTACAAATCCAATATAGATGTATATAGTTGTAATATTTATATAGTATTTATATAAAGTTTAAATATATATAGGTTTTATTTATAGATTTATATACTTTTTTATTATTTCTCAAAAATGGCTAAGATAACTGTTATCAAGTAAAAATGCTCAGCATACAAAAAAAACATTTATTTATATTAATATTTATTTAGAAAATTAATTTAACTCAAAACTTTTTTTTTGTAATTTTATATAATTTCACATAGAAATCTATACATAAAGTTTACATTGGGTTTGTAAATCTATATATAATTTAAATATATTAAGATTATATAGAAATTCTATATAACTTTACATAAAAATGACCTTATGATGATATCTAATATCAAGATATAATATATCTTTCTCCAACTTTAGTCTGGTGGTTTGAACTCTGAAATAATTCTTTCACAGCAAACCATGCTTGAGTATATATATTTTATATACTCTAAATATGGCTTGGCTGTGAAAAACCTCAAATTGTATTGTTCAAAACGAATCTTTAGATATTTCAGCATTTTAAAATTATATAAACCAATTAAAAAAAATGGTATATAGGTGCAAAATCTGCCTAAGAGTATTTCATACAGAGCACGGATTAATACAACATAGGAATGCAAGGCATTGAGGAAGAATTCCTCATAACCCTGATATACAAATGTTACAAAGGTATTAAAGCCCAGAAGAACTCGAAGATGAATCTGAATATGATGAACTTTTTGAACATGATGCAGATTTATGGAATGCGCCCATTGTTAGAATACCAAGACCGTCGATTTCAACAAAAATTCAAACATCAAATTTCAGTGAAATGGTATAAAATCATTGATTTATAAACAATAAATGTTTTATTAATTACAGTCGATACTGTTTAATTGTATACTGTTTAATTGTATATACTCACTAAATGTATCAAAAATTTTGAATTTAATTATTAATACAAGTGCATATGGGAACGCCCACAGCAAAAGCAGGGGATGGGACTATATATTATATAGTCTCATCCCCTGCTTTTGCTGTGGGTGTCCCTATATACTGTTTATATTATATAAAGCCTCTAACGGATGGCATGCAATTAACCAGTATCGACTGTATAAAAGAACTATAAAATAAATATAACAATTCAATATATTTAAATCTTTAACTATATAGGAAGTATGCATTGAAGAACAGATATCTTCTGATGAGAAAAATTCTAGTAATATGTCATTTGAAGAAACTTTAGAAGATATTGGTTTGCAGTCTATACTTGAAGATACATAGCTAATTATAGATAGTAAGTTGCACAGCAATTATACTTGCTGACAAATCCAGTCAATAATAAGAGTTTGAGATTTAGGCACGGGTAAGGATTGGAACCGTCTAAAATTTTTCTTAATCATTTAATCGTTTAATCATTTAACCATTTAATTTGGCTGCCATTAAGATAATTCCGGCCCACGACCAACATAATCCTGCCCAGAATTATGAAGCAATTTTTAAACGGTTAAACAGTTCCAATCCCTAGGCGCGGATAAACCTAAACTATAATAGTTTGGGATTCATATAGCAAGCATAATTACAATCTTTTAAAAAAAAAATAGTATGCACAAAAAATAATAAGAAATTTGAAAATAAAGAACCTCAAGCTGATTCTGAAAAAGCTGCTGAGATTTCAGATGATAGTTTAGAAAAATTATTATACTCAAATACTAGCTCAGATCCCGACGATGTTCAAGGAGCAACTCTAGATGATGCGTTAGACAGTATTGAAAGAAAAATTCAACCGCAAATATTGGCAGGATGGCCCAATAATGCTTATTGTGACTTTATGGAACTAATTATAGAAGGTAACATTTCTAATAAACTCGGTGATAAGATAATCAAGTTCTTTAATAAGTATAGTAATTTGGAAGAATCACCATTGCCGAAGTCCACTAAAAATAGCAAAGATTATCTTAATCAAATAAATTCACACTTAATAAATTTTAAAGAAAAAGTTATAGAAAAATACTCTGGAATCGATTTTAAGCTCCATTATCGTCCAATTTTTCATGCAATTCAAGCACTTCTAACACGACCAAGAATTACAGAAAATTTAGTCTTGCAAGGAATTCTGAAAAAAGAAAAGATATTTTAATATTAATGTTTAAAATAGGGATTGAACCCGGGTAAAAATTGTTACTATACGATTATAATAACTTACCCGGATAACCCGGGTAATTTAATAATACCCGGGTAGAGATTTTCTCAACAGGTCCAATATCTAGTTTAAAATATATATTAGTTAAAATTTTGGTATGCTTATATTAATCATTGTTAATCTTGCAGTATTTAATTCATATCTAATAAATTGTTTCAATAATTGATTTTATAGGATAATAATACGGACGTAAGGGTGTTTGAGGAACAATATGAGTGTAATTGGTGGCAAGAAGTAGAAAAAACTATTCCTCCATTAAACTATTTGCTGTCGATTATTTTATATTCTGATTCGACAACCTTTGATAAACTTGGCAAGACCTCAGGGCATCCAGTCTTTTTAACACTTGGAAATCTTCCACATTGGCTTCGGAATTCAGCAGACTCCAAAGTTCTTTTGGGGTTTTTACCCCAAATTTATGACACTATGGTTAAAAATACTGAAACAGCTGATGGCTTTCGGAACTTACAACATAAAGTATATCACAAGTCTCTAGAGGTTATGCTTGACCCTTTGCTAAAAAGACCAGATGGGCTATTTTTTGGAGTTTAAGGCCGACCAGTAGCTTTTGCTGCACAAATTTTAGTCTTTCTTGCTGATATGCTTGAAGCAAATGAAATAACTTCAACATATAAACTATTCAGCAGTAAGATGCCGTGTCATAACTGTATGGTCCAGCACGATGATCTAAACAATATGAATCTTACTTTAGAACAAATTGCTCCAAGAACTCCAAGACATATGCAACAAATTCTTAATAAAAAGTGCGAGAAGGAGTTTTCTGTATATAATATCGACAATGCCTTTTGGAAATTTCTGTATGTTTTTTTTTTCGTTTTTGTTTATAATTTTTATAATTTATCTTGATGACCTTTTTTAAAAAAAAAAATAATAAATAAATCAAAATTACATAAAACTATAATCTAAAGGAATTTAAATATATATGAAGCATATGTTCCTGACCGTATGCATCATATTAATCTTGGTCTGTTTAAACGCCAATTTGATTTCACACAAGACATTTTAAAAGAAGTTGGGGGAATAGAATTACAAAAGAATTTTAATAACCATCTTCGTCAAATTCCACGATTTCCTGGGTTGAAATTATTTAATAAACTAGGCAACTTAAAAGTTATGACTGCTACTGACTATCAGAATATAATGAAGGTAATGCTTTTTGCTCTTGATGATATTTTTGATAAATGGAATCAAATAACTTGCAAAGAGCTTTGCAAGTTATATATCAAATTCAGCCAAATGTACCTAATGAGCTGGAAAGAATCATTTACTGAAACAGACCTAAAACGTTTTGAGGTATTGTAATATAGTTGGTTAATTAAACTAAAAACTTGTTTAAATAACAATGGACATTTAATATAGAGCTTAATTATTGACTGGTGCAATGAATTTAAACGAATATGTTCACCATTATCTGTCTCAGAATGCAGATTTCCAAAATTGCACAGTTGGCGTTATCATGTAATCCCAACTATTAGAAAATATGGAGCATTGAATGGTTTATCGACAGAAACCTATAAGATGCTTCATAAAACGTATGTGAAGAATCCATATAGATCTTCAAATAGAAAAAATGTAATGAGCCAGTTGATAAATGCGGTAGGAATAAAGATATTAATAATCTGAACAAATTGGTCTTTTATATGGAATCAGTGGTCCAGAGCACCCTTATATAAAAAAAACTAGTTGGTTCAGATTATTAAATATCTCTGGATAAGAAATTGTTTTAAATCACTTAAAGTCATAATAATCGTTGTATAATTATACTTAAAGGTGAAGTGTAAGGAATTAGCTCCCATAATCACCAAACCCATTTATAATAAAATTGAGGGGTTTGGCAAGGTATTATGAGAATTGAGGCTGGATGCAATTGAAGCAAAAGTGAACTTCTTAAAAACTTTGAACGAGACAAACCAAAACTTTATTGAGGAGTTGTCTCAACTAATTCCAGCACTCGATATCTTCCTTAATACATCTTCGCAAGATTCAGAAAGTGATAACTTTTATATAAAAATCTATGATACTGTTCATTTGGAAAATGGTGAAATTTTGAGAGCATCTGATAGTTATCAAAATAAGAAGTGGTTTAGTAATGTTGCAGTGTCCGCTGCAGAAGATCAAGATCAGTATGAATCAGACGAAGGAATATGGTATGGAAAGATACTATTGTTCCTGAGATTCTTTCAGGGATTAGCAAAGGATCCATATGACCTTGCAATGATTCGGTGGTATGACATTGAACCAAGTGAACCAGAGCTATACAATTGTCCACAACTATTTTTTACAAACGATTACTATATAATTCCAGTAGGCTCCATCTATAAAGAAGCACATATTGTGCAAAGATTTGACAAAAAAAATCGTTTTTTACTCAATAAATATATTTTTTGAGTTTGAGTAACACCTATCGCTATGGTGTTTTTAAAGTTTTGATTTTTTGAAAGTTTGAATAACATATATCATCAATATATGTTAAATTTTGGAGTTTGTGTACCATCTATTAATATGAAAGCAAGTTTGTATAACATTATTTATATGAAAGTTTATAATGCAAATTTTGGTATGTTTAACATGTGTATTCAAATTTCCTTGGTATACAAAAAGAAAGAACTAATAAAAACTAATTGATATGACTTAGATACTATTTACAGTTATTAAGCTTTATATATTATATTTTAATGTAAAATACTGACTAGTATTTACAGACTATCTTTGTTAAAATTTTTTTTTACTTCAGCTGATCTTCAAAGTTCATACTTTTAGGTATTCTCCAAGGTATAGTGGTAGACACTAAAAATCAAAACTAAACTAAAAATTCAAAGAATACACCTATTACTTGAGATCTATGTATAATCCCATCAAACATACTAGAATCTTTCAGGACATGATTTATAAAAAATTATGAGTTTAAAGAACTCAAAAGATATTCAATGTAAGTCTTAATCTTAAAAGTCTTATATATGAGTGATGGCCAGGAAAAACCTATAAATTATACTTTTTAAATATTTATTTTTAATAAAAATATTTAGAATTATATAACTTAGCAATTGTTATAATATTATTTGAATCGCATTAATGAGACAATTCGAACGACATTAAAATCTTAGGTATTCAATTACTTTGTTTTTCAAGATATCTTTATTAAAAGTATTTAGAAAGTATGATTAACAGGTTTCCCTGACCATCAATAATATTATTATCCAAGTTATTATTTAATAATGATCTAATATTTAATTATAGATGTCTATCTTATAAAAATATCTATTAAGGTTCTCCAGTTTACACCTAGTCTCCGGTATTTAATTATTAAATTTGTTAACTAAATCATATTAAATCACAGTGTATAACTTTCATAGATTGTTTGCGACGAATAACCTTTTTTATTCAAGTGTTTGAATGGTATATTATTTATTACAATACATTTATAAATTAGGCCTGCATTATCCTAATGGCGGTTGATCATCTTTAATGTTGGCGGAAATTGGTTTTCTTTCAATTCTAAGTAAAGATTTATATCAGTTCACGAATATTGCCTCTGAGTATTTCTTTTTTTTGGTTGTATTTGTTTCACGAGTTTTTAACAATAAATACTTACGCTTTTATTTGGTATAATTTAACTAATTCTCTATGCCTATAACTACGATATCAATTATTTTTCTAGTTAGTTTGTTTGTTCTGAAATTTTTTCCAACGGTTGACTTAAAAAAAACTTTTACATAGAGTTTGCTAGCCTTAGGTATTGTAATCAGTTTCAAAATTTGTTCATTTTTTGCAACAAACAGCAAACGAATTAGATCAGTTAGACTTGATGTCGAATTATCAAGAATTCTTTGAGTTACTCTCCTTTTGCAGTTTCAGTGAAGTGTATGTAGATTTAATTACTATTCTCTTTTTAATTGCATGCAATTGCTTAATGACCTTTAATGTCTAATTAAGTAACGATGTCTGCGATCATGAAATGCTACGATTACTTAATACAAGTGAAAATTTTGGGATCGTTTGTTTAATTTTGGAGTGTATTTTTATATATAATTATTATTTAGTAAGTTATTTTTTATTCCAAGCTACTTAAAGCAACATTATCAGGCTTAGTCTCTAAATATGATTGATTTTAATTATCCAATATGCTAGTTCATGATTACTTCTTATAACGTATTATTTGGTTTTATTTCTTAAATCTGAAACATCTACTATATATATTTATTCGATGAGTTGCTCTATAATGCAAATGCATTATCTAATTTAATTTTAATGAGTTATTTACTGAATTTCTAAAATAATTTATTATTATTATATATTTATAAATGGGTTTACTAAATCACATCAGTGGTATTAATACTGCAGTTGCTATATCTCAATAACTGGCTAATTAACTCGCATCAAATATACTAAGTAAAAATATTCAGTACCATCAAAAACCTCACCTTACCTAAAATTTGGACCTAATGCATTGCTATATCTTAGGCTCCTAACCCTAATTTTTATATATAAACTATCAAAAACATTTACATGGTGTCAGCACCATGGTGTTATTTTGTATAACTGTTTATAAAACAATTTGTCTGGTGGGTTTTAAAATCTGGATTACTTTAGAATTGTACTTGCAGTTCTGTTAATTTCAAAAATTAAATTAGAAGCAATATTTTAATAAATTTTTTGCTTCTTATAAGAAAATTTATGGATGCAATTATTATTAACCAATGGTTAAAATTATATCAGGTTATATATATATTCTTTTAAGTATCAAACACCTAGGAGTTGTCATAAAACGCCATATAATAGTAAGTCATATTTATGCGATCCATATAAAATTAAAAATTAATGGATATCCAGAATACATATTATTGCGTCCTTCACTTTATTTTCATAAGATCTTTTTATTTCATTTAATTTCTTTTTATTGCATTAATTTAATTTATTCATTTTCAATTTCAGATAAATTTGCCTAGGTATTGTATCATGTGTTAAACAGGTTGTACCAACAGTAGAATCCTACGAAGAAAACTTAAAACTAATTGGTCTTATTACACTGCAACAATTTTTTTTTTTACGACAATCGGTTTTAACGATCACTTAACACTAATTGTTTTCTTGTACACACATCCGATTGTAATGAGAAGGCATTCGAAGAATAAATTAATTTCATGAATTAATGAGCAACCAGAAAAAAGCCATCAATCATAATAGATATATAAAAAGCCAAAGAAAAATTGCTTTAGGCAATTCTTCATTTCAACAAACCATAATACCACTTTTTAAATTTCTAAAGTGGTCAACCTTTTTCTTACAATATTTTGCATATTTGCATATTTGATGTTATTCTATTAATTAAATTTTTAGGAGCTGCTAATTTTAGACCTAATTCTCTGCTTATAATTCAGCTTTTGATTTTGAATAAGAATGAATTGCAAACATTATTTCCATATCTATAAGATTTTATTCAAATATTACTCTTGTTTATTTAATCAACTCATATTATAATTTATTACTGTAAGATATCATGAAGTTGTATTTTTTCATTAAGTATTACTATTAAAGTTGGCCCATTCCTGGTTTCAGCGTGACTATATTGCGCAGCTACTAATATATAAAATGCTGGTGAAGTTAAACTATTTTACTAATTATCAATTAGTAATAGTATAATTGGCATAATTAATTAGTAGATAACTAACCTGTCTTGATATTTAAATCAATTGACAAAAATATGATTTGGTTAGTAATTTTTTCGGGTTGGGTTATAGGATATACAATTATTCAGAACAGAGTTTAGATTCTTAGCTTTTATTACTGTATATTACTTATAATAGCTACTAGATATTTCAACTAATTATCTAATCCTAGATATATATTTAAAACAACAAATTAAAAAGATTCAAGCTATAAAACTTTAATATAGAGCAGGAAAAGGTAGATAAAATATAGAATAGTGATTTTTATTTTATTGAAAAATTATATGTTAAGCAATTAGCAAATATTTTTGTATATCGTACATTATTGTTATTTAATTTATTTATATTAATTATATTAATTTAGTTATAAAGATTAATTATTATATTATTAGTTATTTTTTTTATATTATCGCTACAAGAAAATATAATTATTGTTATTTATTTTATTAATTGTATAATAAATTTTAGATTTGTATATTAAATTAAAATTATTAAATTACAATATTTCGCAGATTTATTAATGCTATATTATATGTAATAATTTGTATTTTTAATTATTTTCACAAATCTGATTTAAAAAAATCTGTAGTAATCTGCATTTTTGCATTTCTGAAATAAAAAATATATTAAATATTTGCACTAATCTACATATAAAATTTTTGCGCTAATTTTAATATTTTTAAAATTTTGTGCTAATTTTAAACTTTTTTCTTTAAAGATTGCTGCCAGATTTGAAGTTTTGTACAGATCTGCTTATATTTAATTGATTTAAAAATCTGTACAGATATGAAGTAAAAAAATTTCCCTGTTGAAGTTGTAGAGCTTATCAAGATGTATCTAATGGTGGTAAGAATGTTAAAATTGGCTTGGTGGTTCTTGAGAAATCTTTAAAAAACATTTTGCTGATATATAAAATTTCTTTAAAAAAAATCGATTTTTTTTAAAGAAATTTTATATATTAGCAAAATGTTTTTTAAAGATTTCTCAAGAACCACCAAGCCAATTTTAATATTTTTACCACCATTAGATGCATCTTGATAAGCTCTACAACTTTTGTTATGAGCCTAAGAGTGATTCACTTAGTAAGGAAAAAAGTTTTAGATTAGTGCACTCCATATTTAGCTCAATAGTAAAATTTACTTATAAAAATTTGTAGATCTTCTCTGGTTGACTAGCAAATCACCAATTAAAGCTATTCATATTTAAATATAAGCCAAATAAGTAGAGTTTAAAGCACAAGGATATGAGCATGCCTCTAAAGATATGCCTCTAGAACATGCCCATAGACAGTGTTGTTACAGGACAGTTGTGGACAGTAAGTTTGTACACTTTGGACAATTTTGGATGATTAAATAAATTAAAATTACTTAAAATTTTATTAAGATAACCTATATTAATTTCTAAGTAAAATATGTTCAGTATATAAAAAAATATATAATTATATATTTTTTAAACAAATTTATTAATTATTAGAGCTTAGATATGCTCTGAACACTTGTAAACACTTGGATACTTGGACATTAGA